TTTTTACAAATATTCTGCCATTTGTTCTTTACATTTCCAACCCTTTTTTCAAAGTCAGTATCTGAACTGATAATCAGCTTACATCTTCTTCTTTAGAAAATTTAGTTCTTCCAATTGTTTTCATTTGTTACCAAAGCTAAAGCAACGAAATCATGTGTATTTAAAGAGCAGAGACATAAGCACAGTATACTACATAGAGCACACCTTACTATGCTACTGTAAACTAGTTACAACTCTACCATGCTAATAAGGATGTCTCATTTCTCTAACCTCCTTGATCCTATTTATCATTTACTTAAAATCAATTTCAAATTGCTACTCATTGCTTATACTTTCTCTCTCAACCAAAGGGCAGGAATCTGTTTTACTAGATCTTTGTATTCCCTACTAGCTGATAGTAGAGCAAATATTAGGCCATGGTGAGTGAAACATATAGAAAGAGTACTGAGCTTTGAGTTGAATCACCTGTGTTCATCTCTTGGCAATCTGCTGATTAGTTGTGTGTCTTTGGGCAGGTCAACCGGCCTCTCTAAGCCTGTTTCCTCATCTATAAAGTAAAAGCAATGGCACCCACCTTCTGGGGCCACTGTGAATACAATAAGATGATGTGTATAAAAGGAAAGCATTGAAAAAATCACAAGAGATATTGTCATCCTGATAAATACAAATCAATTGAATATTTCATTTATGTCTGTTACGGGGATCAAAAAAAGACCTAAATATACCATAACTTTCAGTGGCTATTTATATTTGAAGTTAATAGAACAAGTTACATTGGTCTGTGAAAAGTTATTGCTCATTCCCTTAATGTTAAAATAGAAAATCATTCAATGTTAGCAATTATAGTGTTGTCATATTTTATCATATGATTATTCCTATTTTTAATAAATATTTTAGCTTTAAAGCCTAGTTTGCATAATACTACATTAGGAATAATATAATTGAGGCACTAAAATTATATGGAAACAACCCAACCACAGGTTATGTCAGATATAATGTTCTGAAGCTTCAATTAACATATATAAACACTGTAACCCTCATTAATTAAATGTATCTCAGGAGACAGTATTTTTGTGTATGTAATTGAGAAAATAATAGCAAACAAAAGAGTATGAATATGAAGAAAAAAAAGAAATTTCACATTGTATTCTTTAAAGACTTCTGTAGGCATAAACAGGGCAACTTTGAGATGTTATGTTTCTCTAGAATTAAAGGTACAATAGAAAGAATATGTTATATTTGCACAAGAATAAAAAGTTATTCTGAAAGGTCATCTTGCAAGATCATGGTTCTATGTGGTGTGTGGAAGAGGCAATGTTCTGAAAATCCACTGGGAGAAGCAAATTCATAAATATTAATAAATGGAAGCATCATTATAGATAATAAAATATGAAGCAGCATGCAAGTTTGAATGGTTTTTATTGTTACAATATGTGGTTGATGTTTGGGTAAAGTAATCTATTTGTGAACTGGAGGCATGCATATTTATTTATACAGTTCTTCTTATGGAAAACTTCGTTCTTGAACTTTTCTGAAATTTGCAAAATCACAAGTTCTGAAACCTATGCTAATCAAGCAAGTTTTTTTCTTTTTTATTACCTATTTTTTAACCTGCAAGACCCTCACCATTTCTCACCTAGTTTTTGCACTGATTTCTTTATAGGGACCTGCTTCTTATCTCAATCCCTCCAAACTTTCCTTCATATTACTGCTCGAAAGATCTTTCTACAGTACTGGTATGGTCATGTCACACAGGCTCCGAACATTACAGAAGACTCCCCACTATATAAGAACTACAATAAACTACTTTTGTGGTGTTCAACATCCATAAAAATCTAGCAGTTACTACATTTCACCTTCACAAATATTATTTTTAGCAATATCAAGGTATTTGTGAGTCCTCTACATGGATGCTCTCACATACCTCCTCATCTTTGCACTTGCAATTTCTATATTATTATAATTTAATGGATATATCTCTTGGAATGCCATTCTCAGGCTTTTGTGGCTTGACAAGTTCCTAACCATGATTCACTTGTCAACTTTGCAAGCCTTTTCTGACTCACCAAGTAAGCTCACACAGAAAGGCAAGTACATCTTTATGCTTCTATTTCATTTTTCAATTTTATGCTTCTATTTCATATTTCAACATACATTCCTCGTAGTCCTTATTACACTGCACCTTGATTTGGAGTCCTTTGCTTATAGCTCTTTCCAACTAGTCAGTAAGCTCCCTGAGGACAAAGACATTTCCTCATCTCCATACCCTCAATAATCACACAGTGCTTGGCACAAAGTAAGTATTAAATGGATATTTGTTGATTGGAAAGATCTCCTTTAATGTGCCTATTGATCAGTAACTTATTTTCCTATCCTAATCAATGGCCATAACGTTTCAGTTAAGCAAGATAAATAAGTTCTAGAGATCTACTATACAACATTGTACCTTTAGGCAACAATTCTGTGTTGTACACTTAAAATTTTGTTAAGAGGATAGATCTCATGCTAAGTGTTCTTACCACAATAAAAAAAAAAATCAAGATACTCAAGGAGCTGCCTGCCTGACTGGCTAAACCAGCAATCAGAAATATTGATTAGTTAAGAGAAGGCAACCAGTAAGACTTATACAACTAGATGGTGCCTTGGAGGTTACCTGATTGAATTCTTCTCCCTTACTCCCAGCATCCTGGACAGATGGATGGAGGGATGGATACACACACACACACACTGTACATTTCAGAACACGTAAAATAAAATCTGTCCAGGACAAGAATCTATATTTCTTTATAATACACTGTCTTTCAAAAGGTGAAAATCTCCAACAATCTATTTCTCAGATCTTTTCCCTTCTTTCCATTTCTTCTGGCAGCACATTCGTGAAACCTTTGCCTTCTGACTGGTGTCACTGGAAGATTTGTAAAGCATGATGTTGATGTTTTTTCCTCCTCTGCTCAAAAATCTTCAGTGTCTCCCTGTTTCTTTTTTTTTTTTTTTATTTTTGAGAGAGAGAGAAAGTGAGCAGAGGAGGGGCAGAGAAAGAGGGAGACACAGAATCCGAAGCAGGTTCCAGGCTCTGAGCTGTCAGCACAGAGCCTGACACGGGGCTCAAACCCATGAAACATAAGATCATGACCAGAGCCAAAGTCAGATGCTTAACTAACTGAGCCACCCAGGTGCCCCAGTATCCCCTATTTCTTATAAAATAAAGAATAAAACCTTTAGCCCAGCATTCAAGGCCCTCAACCATTTGATTCTTTTTAGAAATTCTATTTCCCTTTAATGTAACGCTTAATCTAAATAAACTCAACTATTCATTCTTCTTTGAATGCATAACCTGGGCTTTCTTGCCTCAATCCTTTGCTTGGGTTGGTCCTTCTTTCTTGTACCTCTATCCTGAATATCCACATCTAATATCATTCAAGGCCCAGTTTGCCAGTGAAATCTTCCAGAGCCCTACCAACTAGGAGTCACCTTTCTCTCAGTTCTCTTCCACATTTTGTTATAACTACCTATGTAAAGTTCATGTCTTCCTACTAGACTGTAAGCTTCATAGGAGAAGGAACACATCTGATTCCTCTCTTTACTGCCTCCATAGTTGCTTGCCCTTAAGTACATGTTAAACTAGTAAATCAATGATATATACAAATAATGCATATTTTAAATGTATATTCTTTAAATCTATCAATAATGATAATTATACTTTCAGTGTTTAAAAAAACACAATGACTATGGGATGGCTGCTTTTAAAAAATTATTTCCAATTTTTCAATTATTTTTCTTATATAACAAATGCAGAACTTCCTAAAAACTTTCCTTCCAACCTCTGTTCTAAAACACTGATTTTATAAGTACCTAAACTTTGTTCTAGTCTTTCATAGAAGGATACTTTGGGAAGAAAGGATCTTGAGACATCATCTCTTCTCATTCATCTCTCCCCTCCCAACCCATATAGAAAGTATCTCAGGAAAACAAGCACTTATCCTATTTTAAGACTCTTCTAAGATAAACTGCACAGAATTCCAGGAAATTTATTGCAATGTCTCTTAACCCTTTCTGTCGCAGTATTCCTCCATAATAAGTTCAACTCATACTATTATTTCATTTTGTCTCTTGAGAGACATGTAGCATAGTGGCTTAGACACACAGCTTCTGAAGTCAGACTTCCTGTCTGTCTCTGGGAAAGTCATTAACCACTCTCTGTGTCAGTCTCCTTATCGATAAATTTTGAATAATAATGGTACTTATTTCATAAGACTTTGCAAGATTCTGATGAAATCATGTATGTAAATTATTTAGAACAGTGTCTAAAACCTAATGATAATGATATATAAATTAAATGATATATAAATGTTGCTATTAATAATTCTTTTTATTTTGCTTTGAATAGAGACGGATAATAGTTTGAGCCACAGTCTTTCATACATGAAGATTTTGAACAAGTGAATCTTTTTTTCGACTGAATAATCCCAACTCCTTTATGCTATGTTTTTCTATCTAATTTTCCAAACTTCTAAAAATTCCTCCTTTGGCGCTTAATCTTAGTATAGGGCAAAGAGTATTTTTAGTATTTTGCTACTACAAGGACATGTGAAGCAACCCTCTAAAAGCCTCATCTAAGGGCACCTGAGTGGCTCAATCGGTTAAGCCTAAGACTTGAGCTCAGACTTCAGCTCAGGTCATGATCTCACTGTTCATGAGTGTGAGCCCCACATCAGGCTCTGTGCTAACAGCCCAGAGCCTGGAGCTTTCTTCAGATTCTGTGACTCCCTCTCTCTCCACCCTTGCCCCACTCACACTCTATCTGTCTCTCTCTCAAAAATAAATCAATATTAAAAAATTAAAAACAAAAAGCCTCATCTATTTAACACATATCTTTTTAGAGTCATTCACCATACTAGTCACAATGTGAATGTAACTTTGCATAAGATAGGTAAGAAGCCTGCCTTCATGGAATGCTTACTTGCAGGAGCAAACTCTTTACCATTAACCAAATCACATACCACTCCTCCGAATTCTTTCTTCCAATAGGTCAGCATGTCCAGCTGGAAGCTTCTTATTGAAAATCTCAGCTGAACGGAGGAACATAGCTTCTACTGCAGACCCTTTCAGCAAAGCAATTTGATCTTCATGGTCCAAAGTCTGAAATCCTGGATGAAGATGATAATCAAATCAAATCAATCAAATCAAGGAACTGTGAATGCTATATAACAATATTTCATCATCATTATCATCCCCATTGATAAAACATTTCCATAAAGTTATTTTGTAATTGTTTTAAGATTGGGTAGTCAGATTGAGTCACTAAAAATTGATTTTTCTGTCCCAAATAGAAGCTGACTTTTATCTTATTGAGTAGGATTTGTTGTACAAGTTGGGTAAAAAAGAATGTCCTATCCACACCAAAAATACATATAATGGCAGTAAAGGCTTATTCAGATGAAGGAACTCTGAAGTTAGAAGCAAACAGATTCTCTTTTAGCCATTATATTAGTCACATCTGGTGATACAGGGTCAACTCTGAAGAATGGAAGCATCCACAGACCAGAAAAAAATCTTTACATGTATCCAGCCATGGGAAGGAATTGACAACCTGAAGGAATTGACAACCTGAAGGAATATAACACCACTTGGAAAATCCAAAGTCCTTATCCAGGCTTGTATGCCACAGTCTCCAGCAGCCTCTCTGACATCATTTCCTCCTCTTCCTTTCTCTCATTCACTGTGTTCCAGCCACACTGACTCATGGCCCTGCTGTGAACATACAAGTTTGCTTTGCCTCAGGAGTAAATGCCCTTCCCCAGCTATCCAAATGCTTTACTCCCCCAACTATATGCAGAGACCCTATATTCAAGGTGACCCTACTAAAATAATACTACTCCCCATAACTCACTAGCCCCTATCTGCTTTATTTTTTAATGTTTATTTATTTATTTTTGACAGAAAGTGTGTGATCAGGGGAGGGGTAGAGAGGGAGACAGAGAATCTGAAGCAGAATCCACACTGTTAGCACAGAGCCTGACACAAGGCTCGAACTCATGGACACAAGCTGAAGTCAGACACTTAACCAACTGAGCCACCCATTAACCCCACTAGTTGCTTTATTTTTACTCATAGAATTTACCACTACCTGACATAATAAATTTATCTGCATATTTATTCATCATTTGCCACCTCGAATAGAGTATAAACTTCATGAGGGCAGAGACTTTGCCTGTTTTGTTCACTTTTGTATCCCTAGTACCTGGCACATAATTGATATCCAAGACTTATTTGTTGAATAGTTGGATAACTGAATAAATGGGAAACAAACATAAGCTCCTATGCACATGTATACATATACATAACACACTTATGAAGATAAACTAATACCATCAGGGTCCAGATGGCTTAGAAAAGTATTAAATAGAAATGGGGTTTAGAGAAGAGAGTAATGTTAAGGTTTAAGAATCACTATCTTAGGGGTGCCTGGGTGGCCCAATCATTTTAGACATCCCATTCTTGATTTTTGCCCAGGTCATTATCTCAGGGTTCATGAGATCGAGCCCCGCATCATTTGTTAGGCCCTACTGACAGCATGCAACCTGCTTGGGAAATTCTCCCCCCACCCCCTCTAACTAACTAACTAACTAGATAGATAGATAAATAAATAAATAAATAAATAAATAAATAAATAAATAAATAAATAAATAAATAATTCAACTTAAAAAAAAAAAAGAATCACTATCTCAGAGCTCCTTTGAAGGCAGAAGCCATTCCTGCAGGGTCTCCAGCACCCTGGACAGTGCCTGGCACAGGTCGTGCACCATGAACTACAAAATGAAATGATTCATCTCTTTAACCCACACCATTTCATTATTGGTATTATATCACTATTACTGTTATTTTTATTAATGTTGTCATTTCCATAATTATTGTTAAAATATTAATTTTAACTATATTACTAGTACTGTTAAAATTTCTTTCTCAGGAGTTTTGGTCTTTTATTTCCTATTGTATTTTTTTTCCTTCTGTTTTCTCATTTTTAAAAGTTTATTTTTAAGTAATCTCTACAGCCAACATGGGGCTTGAAACTCACAACCCCAAGATCGAGTCACATGTTCTCCCAACTGAGCCAGCCAGGTCCCCCTGCTTGACTCATTAAACACACATTAATTATACTCTTTCTTCCCCCTCAGGAACTAGTCTAAGCACTGGAAATAAAGAGATGTGTTAGATATTGCTGTTGCTTTCAGATAAGCTACCTTTTATGAACAAGATTTTTTTCTTCAATTATTTTGTGGATCAAGACCAATAGACCATTTGAACTGAAAACCTCTCTTTTCACAAACAACCAAAAATATATTTCTCCCATTCCCAATTCCTCCTCCCACACCTTTCACTCTTGTATAATCTTGTTTTTGATCAAGATTCCCCTCACCTTAATTAGCATATAACAAATTAAGTTCCTCTTTCATTGTAATAAAGAAGTGAGAGAATATTAATGTTAAAATGAAAATGAGAACTTCCTCCTCACATTTTATGAGTTTATGTAGGCTTATGTCTATTCATGACACTTTAATAAAATAATAGCATGATGCTGGCCAAAGAAGACAAATTAACCTAATTAAAATCTTACATCAGAAGTTACCTTCTATAATTTAATATTACAGTGCTGTGCTGTTATACAAGGTATTTATTATACTCTTCCAGTGCCCGGCTAGCTCAGTCGCTAGAGCATGAGACTCTTATTATACTCTTCCGGATCATAGAATTCTATTGTACTAATATATTTTTAAAACACCAAAACAACTTAAATCTATTGGCTGAGATAGCATTGATAATGTAGCCAAAGGAATTGGGAAGCTGAGAGATTAGAATCTTGAATTCCAGTTTCTGTACTGGCCCCATCCAAATGACTATAGATAAATTCCTTTCCCTTGTCCCACAATATATTGTTCAGTAAGCTCTACTGATTTTTGAATCTCTCTTCATTTTGTTTCCTCTTCCATCTCCCAGTGCTGTTGCTTTATTTCAAGCCTTCTGACTTGAGTGGTGCAGTAGCATCCTAAATGATCCTCCTGCCTCTGGTCCCTCCTCATTCAAATTCATCTTATACAAAATGGAACAAGTCATATCTGTATTAGCATAAATCCCATCACTTCCCTCTCAATATAAACAACAACAAAAAACCACCAAAAACTCTTTACCATTCAGGGGATGAAAATTAAATTCCTTACTTAAGCCCTTGTTAATCTGACACCAACTTAACCTTATGCCTAACCAAGGAGTCTACCACATTATGCTGTGGCCACATTGAATTTTTCCATCTCTAATAATCCTATTTTTGTCCATGCCTCATTATATTTTCACAAGTAGATCTCTCGACTTGGAAGGTTCCTTCTATTCCATACCACCAGGACAACTCCGTTTTCTTTTAGACCCAATTAAAATATGATTTTCTTTGAGGTCTCCCTGTCTTTCTCAGGTACAAATAGCAACAACTTCCTCTCTGTTCAAACAGCACCTTGTATATAATATTTTTATTATAGCCTTTCTTAAATCACTTCCCTTGAAGGCACTAGCTACATACTTAGTATAGAATACGTATCAACAAGTGCTTATTAAATGAATAAATGCATGAATGACAACTTCACAAAGTCTCAATTTCTTAGTCTATCAATCTGGAAAAATTATTATAAGTGATTTGAAATATCCTATCTGGCCCTAACCATTCATGTCTATAGTAGTTAGACATATTAATTTAAATCAGATGTGAGATAATTTCTACTTTACGAACAACAGACCTGACTTTCTCAGTGTCACAAGAATATTGCACAGTATAGCATATACATGTAAAAAATACCTGGAAGTTTTTTTGTGAATTCTACAAGAATCTGTACATGACTGGTAGCCATTTCAGTTAAAATGAGAAAATTTTCTTCTGCACTGAATTCTTCTTTTAACTAAATTTTAAGAAGAAAAGCAAATGATTAATAAGTAGATAAAAGGATAAATCAAACACAAAATCATTATACTAAAGAATAAGATTTGGATAATAAAATTTAAGATCGAGCTTATATTTTTCAGTTCCTTGGAGAGCAATTACTATTACCAAGATAGATATGAAACGTCTGTTCTTTGTCTAATGCTGCTAAAAGTTTAAATGCATAACTTGAATTCTCAGCTCTAATTATTTCAAAGTAACAAATTCATATATAATTTATATAGAAAATATTAACTTTCAACCTATGCATTTTTAGATATTTGTACGTACAATTTTATTTGTTATTTCCTGAGGCATCCTCTGTTTGCTATACGAATCCATAATATAATGAAGAAGATTCTGTTGATCTGGGGTGAGTTCAGTTTTCTCCTACACTGGCAAAAAAATAAAAGGTATTAGGGAGGGTGGTTGTAATGTACTTTTCCTATATGCACATTCATCTGGAGTAAACTAATCTCAGAAATTATTGATAAAAGCCCTAAATATGGCAGGAACTATGCATTCTGATACAGTGTGCACTGTAATGGCTTACTCTGGGTCCTTGGTCAAGCATATCACAATTCACTAAATGGGTCCCAAATTGTTCATTTTTCTATTTGTAAAATAAGGATAACAAAATATTCATTTCATGTATATCTTGGGGATAAATAATAGTCTAGATTTGAACCCTATCAACCCCATTCATAGAGAAGTTCAGTGAAAGTTCAAGGTTTAGTCACTAAGGAAAAGTTCCCACATATAAAATAGAGAATCCAATTAAGGGCATTCATTTAGGGCAGGAGTTGACAAACTATGGCCCATCTACCAAATCTACCTGACTCTACTGGAACACAACCACGTTCATTTGTTTATGTGTTATATACGCTACTTCTACACTAAAATAGCAGAGTTCAATAGTTGTCATAGAAACCTTGTAGCCAAAGCCTAAAATATCTGACCGTTTACAGAAAAAAAAAATGTTTACCTAGCTCTGAAATAGAAAGTCATCAATCTGGACAATTCAGACACCAACTATCACTTTCTCCTTTACTAGCACATTTTGAAGAGTGTGGATAATTGTGTCAGCTCTTTGCTTCCTTATACCAAAAAGTGTTATTGATGAAGTACTATGGCAAAATAACACTTTGATATAAAATTATTTTTTTCTCAAATAAATGCAAAATACTATACTTGGAAAACTAAATGTGGATGAAGTTTTCCTTGTTAGTAGTACAATCAATATTAAGAAGAGTGTGACTTAAATAATCATGGATTTTTGTTTTCTCAACTAATGGCAAATTAAATTTCCTCCATATACCCTGTGGATTATCACAATGTGTTTAGTTAATCATCCAAGATGCTGTTCCTCTATTTTGTCTCAAGTTGTTCAAAGAACTCCTTGCATAAGAAATTTGAGCATAAGAAAATTGTGAATTCATTGGGAAAGGCTTCTCTCTGTTGTTCCACAGATGTGTATCCACCCAATTTTACCCATTGATAGGGACTAATCAGCAAACCTCTACTGAGTACATCTCCTTCCCACTGTAGGCCTCCCTTCTCAATGACAGGAAAAAGAAAAAGGTCATCAAAACTCAACCTGAAAAATCCATTCTATACACTGAACTAATTCTACTGGCAACCTCTTGGTAGTAGGAGTGGAATGGAGCCAGAGAAATGGAGAGCTTTCACTTTTTTACCTGATTTACTGCTATTATTTGAGTTTCTAGACCAAAGCAGGTATTACTTTCTTGATTAAAAAGAAAACTATTTAATACACAATTGAAATGAAATTCTGCTTGTGGCCTGTGGCTCTAATTTTAAAGCCTCCCAACCAGATCACTGATGTGGATAACAAAGGCAAAAGAAATATAGAAAAAATTAAATTTCCTTTGCAGCCCATTGACAAGTTCTTGGGACAGGCAAGGTGACCTTCCTCCAGGAACTCAACTGCCTCAATGTTAATACTTCACTAGAGGCAAAAGGCAACCTTTGCTTGACATTAGCCCGACCTCCAGGATCCTGTAAGTCTTCTTTAACATATAAAAATCCCTTTGGAAACTTCCTTTATCTCTACCCACCCCCAAAGATATATGTTAGCAATCAACCTCCAAGCATTTGCCCACTGATATACATCTGAAGGGTCTCATGACAAGGGTTTACTAGACAATATAAATGACCCCTGGAGATCCTGGACACTTGCTTACAAATTCCTTAGAGACTAACCTTATCTCTAACCCTCTCCCAACTTGAAAGTGTATAATCAGTCATTTCTCATAATCCCCGTGCTGCTCTTTGTGCCCACAGGTCCTGTCCCATGCTTTAATAAAACCACCTTTTTTTGCACCAAAGATGTCTCAAGAGTTATTTGACTGTTCACTCCCAAGCTGCAACATTTCACATTAATCACTACATGCCAGAAGCTCAGCTCCTTCTGGCTTAGCCGACACCATTGCATGGTATTACCCTGCATGACTTAGTCGTCGAGGTCACTTGTCGCAAATCTCGACCTTCACTGTCTTCATTAATGGTCTGATCTGCATGCTGCTTCACATTTTTTCTTAGTCGTTTAGATTTACACTGAATTTCAGTTAACAAGCCTGACAAAATAAAAAACAGAGACTTCACCATGAAGTTCTAGTGGGTGCGTGGTCATGAGGCAGCTGATGTGTAGTCTGCTCACATCTGTGCAATTTGGCACAGAGCTAATTCTAGCCCTTTTGAATTTTAAGACTTGGACTTGAACAAGAAATTTATCCCTCTGTGAGTCTCACTTTCTTCACTTGTAAAACAGAAGTAATATCTACCTAAGAGTTTTGTGTAGATTAAGTATAATTGGGTCTTCTTTAAAAAAATGTACTTTATATAAAGAATTTGTAATACCAAAGCATTGTAGAAATGCAAGATATTCAGTAAATAAAAAGGGAACAACACCCTCCCTATTCCTAGTCTAGTGGACCCTGAAAGCTAGTGTTTCACAACTAATACTATTCTCATCCATGTTTATATAACTGTACCATAAAAAGCATATTCAGTTTCACATTAAACACACATAAGTAAACACGTGCTGTGTAAAACAAATGTCAACATCCTTCAGAGAAAATTTTTAAATCTTGTTAATTTTCAGAACTGTATAAATTATTGAGGACATAGAGATGAAAATAAGTCAAGGGGACTTTGAAATTTTCTTCTGAATAATTATGCAATATCATCATTAATTTACACTTGAGCTATAAAAAATAATGCAAAACAATCTTCCATAGTCCCATTTAACCTCCATATTCTCCAATGTTAATGAGAAATTCCAGGAATTTCTTTGTCCAGGGCATTTATTTTGCAAGATCAGATGAAAGCTCTGCATCTGTTACTGGACAAGTTTGTGTTCATAAATAATATGATAGACTTCTATAAGTGGAGTGTTGAAAAATGTCCTCAGTGCTTCCATTGGAACAAGTTCATATTTAAGTGATGAGCAACATGAACCATCCAGTATCAAAGTAAGCGTTTCCATTGCAGGATTGGATTCCAGCAGTCATCCCTCTTGCAGTCTCTTGTTTCATATGCTAAGAGGAGATAGTGATCATCTACTATAAAACTTTCATCCACCAGAGCTGGATTATTTACACTGACCTATTTTTCCCCCTCATGCACACATTATTTCTCTGGGTCCATCCCAGTTGCTTGTACAGTTTGGGAACAATAGAATTGGAGTCACCTTCCAAAGGCTTTTTATTCCATGTGGCATTCCCTCCCTGAATGTTATCATCCCCTTGGTGACATTTGTTTGTCATTTGTTTTTTGAGGAGGAATGGGCCATATCTCAAAATCTGAGTGGTCTGTAGAATTTGCAGAATGAAAAATTAATACATTATATACTAGCATGCATTCCAAATTGATGAAGATTATGGTTCCTCACAAAGCCAGCAGTTAATACAGTGTCTCTTTATCAGATCAAAGGGCCAAATTATATTAAAACTCACAGTAGTTAATTTCCTGTGTAAACCTATACAAATTGGTTCAAAGCTGCACTAAGAGAAGAAGGACTACTAATAAAATGACTTGGTTTAAAACTCTATTTAGACAATTCAGAGGCAGTTATACTTTATAAAGCATTCTTAATCTTTCCCACAACTGTGAATGTTTATGCTAATTAAACAATAAGAAAGATATTAAATCACATTTGGAGAAAACTTTTAGACTGCTATCATTCTTGGAAGCTACTGTAGATTAATGCCACCTCACTCCACATATGATTCCTTGCAACAATGAATAACAAAAAACTGTTTCTTTCAGGTGAACAAAATGCTCTTTAGCTGACACTTTGGACAATTTCAGTGGTTCATTACCCTTTTCAAGAACTTTGATGGCTTAGTAAATCCCTTCTTTAATATGTGAAGTACCATTCTAATCATGTGAGTTACCTGCCATCTGCCTCCTTAGATTTTTAGTGGAATTTAATTGCTTGATGTGAATACCTGTATACATACATTCAGCCAACATTCCCATCTCTTTGCATTTCCTTAGGCGACACTCTTGGCACTTTCTTCGCATGTACATGTCCATCACACAGTTGCCCCCATTTTTACACTTGTACACGGCATTTTTGGTAATGCTTCTCCTGAAGAAACCTGTGAAAGAAACACAGAAAGGAATAAAAACTATCCTAACAACTTCCACTCAGAAAAACATATTAGGATTAAGGGATGCCAGAGCATTTTCTCAGGAACCCCCGGCAAACACCCAGGCAATCTTCAGGTGGACTGGTGACAGATAACTTCAACTGCACTGTGACTTCCAGAAGCCTGCTCTTTTCAATCTCTATCTCAAAGATAAAGACATGTTTGAACTGTAGCCTCTCTTAGAGAAAATCTTGCTTTTTTTTTTTTAAGAATGGTTACTTTCATTACATCTTTACTGGAAGACCATTGTGTTCCAGTGAGCTCTAGATGCTGGTGGTCCGAAGGTGAGTAAGTCATCCCTGCCCTCTTTGAGTTTACAGCCTAGTGGAGGGCAAAGCCATGCAAGCAATCAAACAAGTGAAATTAGGTGTTCCTGGTCTGTGCTGGGACAGAAGAGGGAGGGAGAATGATCGGTTCTGGGTGAAGAGATCAGACTTGGAAGCAAGTGTTGTGCTAATCCTTGCAAAACAAGTTGCTGTTTACCAGGCAGACTGGGAGAGGTCACATTCAAGGTTTCAGTTCAGTTCTTAACATGCCCAGCCTGGTGCAGTAATACAAATGCCAACCTTGATTTAAAAGCAAACATCTCCCCTGAGACGGTGGAGCCACCATTGCCAGCCTGCAACAGTTAAGCTGCAGGTGGAGAGGGAACACAAACGCCTTTCTTTCAGTTTCTTTTTTCTCCCACTTTCTACTTTTACTCTTCATCCTCCACCTGGCTAACCATAATTTCTGACACTTCCAGACTCAAGGTGGAGTGTGAATAAGGAGAGGATTTGGGGAGGCATGGGAAGAAGTGACAGGAAAGTGCTTACTTGGCTGGCTTGTGCCCCGCAAGTTTCTGAAATTGACTCCTTCTCTCTTGGAGTTGGGTTCTTTAGAGAATGCCCACCACTGGGATCCATTCCTTTGCAAGTCCTCAATGAGGACAAGTACATCTCTATTCTAGCCCGGGGCTTCTATCTCCTTCTTCCGCATGTAGGAATTTGGCAATTCACCACCATCCTCTGTACTCTGGGTCCCTCCATGTTGCCTTCTTGTCATGAGCTGATGATAATGACCCCGTGCCAGCTTTTTTTGGTCCAGCAAACTGCTGGAAGGAGAAATCTCTCCCACTTACCCATAAGCAGTCAGCCACCATACCTCCTGCCCTTTCATCTTCTCAGGTGAAAGTCAGATGCCAGTCTCCTGTGTCCCTCAGCCGTAAGGGATACATATCAATCTCCTCAAGGGATCCTGTTGAAGACCCTTTCATTGCGCCTGGGGCAGGAGGGCCTCCTTACTGTATAGATTACACCTGAGAAGGGTGGGACACGTTCTCCTAATTCTCACAAAAGTACCATACTTTCAGTGGTGGTCCCCAAGGCAGACATCTGTATCCCATCTGCCCACTCCTTTGCAGTGGGGAATGGGATCTATAGCACACTAGTCACATGCTCCAAAATCTTTAAAGACTATACTCTAGAATTTCCAACTCCTGCACACTTCATACCTTAAACTAGGTGAGGTTTTAACCATTTCTTGACTACTGACTACAAGATGGGCTCACTTTGGATGTAGCAACTAGTGCCAAAACTGAGATAGCAGGAGTCTTTCCTATTTTAACAGCCTGTCAGAATAATAGCTAACATTTATTAAGCACTCACTAGCTTTTGTTCTATTTCACCTGTATTTAGTTATTTAAACTCCGTATCAATTTTATGATGAAGATAATATTATATGTCCCCATATTACAGCATGTGGGGAAAATGCACAGAGAAATTAAGCATTTTGGCCATGATCACATGGTTAATAAGTGGATTAGGAGGATTCAAACCCAGGCAGTCATGGACCAAAGGCCACACTCCCAACCACTATATCATAATTGTCTCTCTTAGGTTACAAGAGAATAGAATAACAATATTAAGTACCTACCACCTGAAAGCTACATTCTCTAACCTGGCAGACGTCCAGATAAATAAGACAACCCTTGTCCTCAGAGTTTCCAACTTAGAAGACAGAGAAGAAGTACATTTACAGCATAATATAAGATAGAGTGATAGGATAGTTAATTAAGTAATAAATAATTGGAATGTAGATGAAAAAGTGATCATTTCAAGGCCACATTATATGCTTATGAACATACTGTCACATTCAGAGGAGGCAGCAATTCCATCACAGACATGGAGATTTGTATATTTGTTATGACAATTTTTCCTGCAGAAGGCAATAAAAATTTGTTCTAGTAAAATAAATATGACAATGTCTCAACACCTAGAAATCAAGTGTCTTGAGAGGAAAAGGCATTATAGGGTCTAAGAATGGCCCTGATTAATTCCAGGTAGGGGAAATCAGAGAATTCAGGAAGGAGTAGAATTTGAGCTGGATGTTGAAGAATAAGTAGAGTTTTGAAACATGGACTGTGAGGGAGGAAGCACAGTCTGGGAAATGAGAAAAGGCAACAAGTTATGGAAATTCCAGGGAAGAGTGGATAGTCTATTTTGGTGGAAGGGTAGAATGAAGGGAGAATTAGTGAGAGGTGTGTGAGGGCATGTAGTGGGACAGAATATAAATGCCCTTCAATGCCACAATTGAGTCTTTACCATGCAGAAAGAGAGAAACCATTAGAGGATTTTGGAAGAAGAGGGTGTGACCTAACCTCCATGTTGGGAAGAATCTTTGGTGCAAGGTGAAGAAAAGTGGACCAGCCCAGAGGTTATTAGTGCCTGAACTGGCTGGAGGGTGAGAAAAGAGAAGAGGAAAGGGAGGAACTCATGACTTGGTAACTAACTCAACATAAAAACAGAAGCAGAAGGAAAAGTTAGAGATAGCAAGGTTAAAAAAAAGTCATAGACTTGCTTGTGAAATTGTCAGCTGGTGTAACTTTCAGTAGGAAAGATCTTACCATTTTCCTAAATGTCAAATCCAACCACACAAAGTCTAAAAAAAGATTTTGTGCTTCAGATCAACATTGATATTGGGAGTGCAAATACCAAAGCATGTATTTTAAAAGAGACTCTAGGCAAGGGAAGGAAGGAAGGAAGGAAGGAAGGAAGGAAGGAAGGAAGGAAGGAAGGAAGGAAGGAAGGAAGGAAAAATGTATTTCCTGGTACCAAATCATTGAGCTCAATGACCGTATTAGTCGACCTGAGTCAGTTTTCCACAAATATTCAGCCCTTCCCAGGAATGATTCAATTTAAAACCACCATAGATACTGATAGCTCAATAGTTAACAGAAATAAACCTCCTTATTCCAAGATGAATCAAAGGAACAGTGCTAGGACAATTCTGCAGGTTTTTTTTTTTAACTCTGGTATTAACTGAGAAAGAAATCATTATCATCTCAATAGCTGAATTAATTAGCTTTCACTCTTAGGTGGCAACACAATACTATCATTATATCACTTAAATATGGGTATATATACTGTATTTATACTTATGCAAATCATCCATACACATACCTCTGCCTCTATCTTGTGCATATTTAACAATGCCCAGAAAAGTCATTTGAAAATGAATGGAAAGGAAATTCACTGAGGAACAGAGGCTTCCTGGTAATGAAAGATGAGTAGACCGACCTGGCATTGCCATCTGAGGAATGTGTAGTGCTGGGGGATTCCTGGAGAATGTCTATAGGATAGTAAAATGGATCCCTCAAATATGCATAATATTGCACATTCTGCTTCTCTGCTTCTTTATACAGATATAACTCACATACCATAGCCTATTCACAACTCCTATATACATATGTGTAAGTGTGCACACATATGTGCACACAGTGCACATGTACACATCAGACTCTAGTGACTGACAGTAGCTACCTATTACTTTGAAATCAATAATATATTGGCTGTTTAAAACTTTGAGGGTTCCCACACTTTTTACACAGCAACAAATGCACAAAGCTGAATAACTAGTGATCTCTACATCCAATATGGCTTAAATAGAGTCAGGCTTTAGGTCTATCTCAGCACACTGTAGAATAACAAGGACTCCTCCACCCTCTTATATAGAACTTACTTTGTATCAGGCACTGTTCTAAACACTTTGCTTATGGTGATTCATTTACTATTCATAACAATCCTATAAAATATTCTATTATTATCTCTCTCTCATAACTAAGGAGACTGCGTTACAGAGAGATGAAGCACTTGCTCAAGGTTCTACAGATAATAAACGGTGGAACTTACCTGATAGGTTCAGTTCCAATCTCTGTGTTCTTAACCCCTCTACATTAGGCTGTCTTTCTAGTAAGGAGTTCATATTGCTAAAAATGGTCTTTAGACATTAATCTCCCCCAATCCCACACCAAGTGTTAAGTGCTCCATGGTTTCTTCTCTATATCCAAAACTGTTCAAAACACCCTATTCTCCCTCCTCCAACCCAGGTGTCTTTTCCACCACAGATTCATTATTAGGAAACTATGCAATGGCCACAAACTAGAGAGGAGGGAGCCGATATAAAAAGGTAAGCTTTGGTCTCCATCACACAATTTCTTAAAGATCTCAGCGCTTGTCCCTGAGCTGCTTGCTGAAATTTTTAGAACTTGATAATAGACTCCTGATCACCTAGTAGGAGCTGTTTCAGACTATTATTTTTGAAAAAGCAACCCTCACACTTCTGAAATGAAATTGATGAAAATTACTATTTTTTAAGCTTTCTTTTAATTCATTAGTTAACATACAGTGTTATATTAGTTTCAGGTGTAGAATACAATGAGTCAACACTTCTATACATCACCCAGTGCTCAGCATGACAGGTGCACTCCTTAATCTCCATCACCTATTTCACCCATCCCCCACTCCCTCCCTTCTGATAACCTTCAGTTTGTTCTCAATAATTAAGAGTGTTTCTTGGTTTCTCTCTTTTTCCCTTTGATCATTTGTTTTTGTTTCTTAAATTCCACATATGAATGAAATCATATGGCATTTGTCTTTCTCTGACTGACTTATTTCACTTAGCATTATACT